AGGATACAGGAGGAATAATGACGCTCTGGGAGGGGCCTTGGTCACGACACTGTGTAGGCCCCGTGGACACAGAGGCCGCGTGGCGACGGATCCCCGCAGGTCAACTAAGGCTTCTCTCTCCTCTGCTCCCGATCCTTCTGCCACGGGGCCTCCAAACAGCCCACCCCGACGAGGGCCAGCGCCGTGGCGCAGCGGTGGAAGCCACACCGCCTGTGATGCCGACATCCCATATGGGTGCCAGTTCACGTCCTGGCTGCCCCACTTCCCATCCAGCTCCCCGCTCGTGGCCTGGGAGGCAGCGAGTGGTGACCCAAATGTTTGGACCCCTGCCACCGACGCGGGGGACGCGGATTGGGTTCTGGGATCCTGGCTCGGCCTCCTTTGCTGTTGGGAGTATCTCTCATTCCCTCTGTCTGTCTGTCTGTATCCGTCTGTCTGTCTCTCAGACACAGGGGCCTGGGGTGGGAGAGGCTGGCTCTGACGCCCCCGAGCTGCAGCGGTCACCACCGCTGCTCTTTCTGCAAAGCCTCCTGTGGGGGCCGGGGTGGGGGGTGATCTTCAAGCCCCTCGCCCCTGACAGGGGGCGTGGCCATTGTTGTGCAGAGGAGTCCTGAGAGGCCCAGAGAGTCCTGAAAGTCCTCCAGGCTTGCAGAAGTCCGGAGGCAAGATTGGAACACAGGTCTGTCTCGTTCTGCTCACACTGCTGGGCGGGACGTAGTTTTAGCAGCTTGAGCCCCGTGGTGGGTGCTTGGCCTTGGGACGCCCTCATCCTGTCTCAGAGCCCCTAGATTTGAGTCCCCCCAGCTCTGCCTCCAACCCAGCGTCCTGCTTGCGGGCACGCGGGGAGGCAGCAGCGTCTCCAGTGCCTGGGTGCCTGCCACCCACGTGGAAGACCTGGCAGGAGCTCCTGGCTCTTGGCTTGGACATGGCTTGTAGGGGGCATTTGGGGAGTGAACCAGTGAATGGGAGATCTCTCTGCCTGTTAAAATAAATAAATACGTTAATTTTAAGCCTTTGTTTTCCGAGACTTTGGTCCTATGGGGGTGGGTCCTGGCTGTCTCCCTCACCCGGGGGCCCCCTCACCCCAGTCTCTCATTTTTTGCCGCTCCCTCATCACTTGTCCTGGAGCCTAAGCAGCAGCACACGGTCCCTCCCGGTCCCCGGACCTGCAGCTGCACCTCGTCGTGAGGGGCTCCCAGGGCCCTGACTGTAGGGGTAGACGTGGGCGGAGGCTCCTGTCTCTGCCCCCGCTCCTGCACGGCTGGCTGCCGGCCTCTCTGTGCCTGGGTGATGGTGTGTGCTTCCCTGCTGTCACTCGGCACTTTCCTGAGAGATGATGGAGATGTCTCAGAGCTGCCAAAGACGCTGGCTCCGGGGACAGAGGGTGGCGGGAAGCCTCCGGGGACAGAGGGTGGCGGGAAGCCGGAGGCTCTGGGAGGAGCTTGCGCCCCCCCCCCCCCCCCATCAGTGGGTGATGCCTCTGCAAGGTGTTTGGAGCGTGAAAAAGAAACACTTTTCTTTAAAACTAGATCATTTTACTTTTTTTTTTTTTTTTTTTTTTTGCTTAAAAGGCAGAAAGAGAGCGAGCTTGCTGGCTTGCACCTGCCAAATACCCCAAAGAGCTAGGGGCTGGCCAGGCTGAAGCTGGGAGCCGGGAAGGCAGTCCAGGTCTCCCACGTGGGTGGCAGGGACCCAGTTGTTGGAGCCATCAGCCCTGCCTCCCTGGTGCCCGTGAACAGGAAGCTGGATGGGATGTGGAGCCAGGACTCGAGCCCAGGCATTCTGATACGGGTTGTAGCATCTCCGGCGGCAGCTGAACCACTGCGCCACACACCTGTCCCACTCTGAGTGTTTTTAAGGTGTGTTTTTTTTTTTTAAATATTTATGTATTTATTTGAAAGCATTATACAGGGAGAGGGAGAGACAGAGGGCTCTTCCTTCCACTGGTTCACTCCCTAGATGGCTGCAACAGCGTGGGCTGGAATTGGGAGAACTGGAACTCAGACCCACGGACTCCCAAGTGCTGTCTAAACTTCTAGGCCGAGTGTCTGCCCCAGGAACAGACCCTGTGTGGAGTGTTGAGGGATCCGTGCTATCCTGCCTGGCACCACCGAAGGCTTTCTCTTGCTTGGACCCCGTGGCCTGCTGCCAGCTGCCAGCTGCCAGCTTCCTGCTTCCCACAGGCCCGAGGCAGGAATATGCTAAGCAGGTGTCAGCAACACAGGCAGATGGAGGGACCCAGCCTTTTCCACTGGGCAGGGGAACACGTCGCCCGTGGAGAACCTGGCAGAGCTTAGGCCGACGCGGCCCTGTGAAGCTGAGGGTGGCGCAGCTCCCCTGGGTCACACTTGGGACCGTGCCTGTGTCCACGCAGAAGCCTGCCGCACCACCGGCCTGCAGTGCCGCTTGTCTTTTCTGACAGTTTTGCTGTGGGCTCCTTATTCAGGGGGAGCAGTCAGAGGATGGAGAGAACGGGGCAGGGAGTGAGGGCAGGAGGCAGGGCTGCCCGCACACCCCTTCCTGCCAGGAGAGGGCCAACAGTGACTGGCCTGATCTGTCACTGGGTGGGGGAGATGGCACAGCTCAGGGAAGCTTAGGTAAACGGTTTCCTGTCAGAGTCGCACTGGACGTCAAGGTCGTCCATTCATAAAAACTCTGGGGTGGGCATCTGGGGAGCGGGTAAGACTCTGCCTGGGAAGCCTGCATCCCCATTGGAGGGGCTGGCTCCAGACTGGCTGTGCGCCCCAGCTGACGCCAGCTCCCTGCGGTTGTGCGCCCTGGGAGGCAGCAGGTGATGGCCCAGGTACGCGGGTCCCTGACACCCACCTGGGAGACCTGCGTTGAGTTCTGGGCTCTTGGCTTTGACCTGGCCCAGCCCTGGCTGTTGCAGGCATTTGGGGAGTGAATCAGCGAATGGGAGTTCTCTCTGCCTTTCAAGTAAAATGTAAATAAATAAGCTTGAAATGAAAAGAAAAAAGATCTCTTGTGTTTTTTAATCTCGTCTCTTCAACAAAACCTTCTGTAACTTGTGCACCCAGGAAGTGTGTGGTTTTCTGTGCATTCTGGCGCCCCACGCCGTACCTGTCTCTCTGAGTGCCCCGTCCCCTTTCTCCCTGCTCGGGCAGGGAGCAGGTGTGTGACAAGCACCTTCCTCGCACACCTTCCGGTGCTGGCTTCCCTGCAGCCCACGCCTGACGGGTGCGCGCTGCAAAGTCCCACGCTCACGGCTGTGCAGCTGAATGGCGCCGACGGAAACCCAAGTCATTCATTTTCAGCGATGTAGCTTATTATCCTGACCCCACTCATTTTCCTAGGAAACTCGCTTGTCACCCAATAGCGTTTTCTCTTCTCTGCATTGGGCAATAATGCAGTAGCCGTGTGACTGTTTTGAGGCATAATGAATGACAGTCAAGTCTGAGGGGTCTTCAGCATGTTCATGGGACTGTGTCCTGTGAGCAGAGCACATGTGGATTGCAAAATTTTTTTGTACCAAAATAAACATTTTCTTTCCATTTTTGCACATTTTAAATACCTCTCATGGACGTATAAAGATATATCCTTTTATTTGAAATAAAGATTTATTTATTTATTTGAAAGGCAGTATTAGAGAGATTCTTCTGTCCACTGCCTAACTCCACAAATGGCTACAGCAGCCGGGGCTGGGTCAGGCTGAAGCCAGGAGCCTGGACCTCCACCCAGGTCTCCCACGTGGGTGCAGGAGCCCAAGCCCTTGGATTATCTGCTGCTGCTTTTCCAGGTGCATTAGCAGACAGCTGTCTTTTTTTTTTTTTTTTTTTTTTTTGGACAAGCAGAGTTAGACAGTGAGAGAGAGAGACAGAGAGAAAGGTCTTCCTTCCGTTGGTTCACCCCCAAAATGGCCGCTATGGCTGGAGCTGCGCTGATCCGAAGCCAGGAGCAGGTGCTTCTCCTGGTCTCCCATGGGGTGCAGGGCCCAAGCACCTGGGCCATCCTCCACTGCACTCCCTGGCCACAGCAGAGAGCTGGCCTGGAAGAGGGGCAACCGGGACAGAATCTGGCACCCCGACCTGGACTAGAACCCGGTGTGCCGGTGCCACAGGCAGAGGATTAGCCTAGTGAGCCGCGGCGCCGGCCAAGACGTTTCTTTAAACTCAGGTAGCATTAGTAGAGATGGATTGAACATCCCGGCTAGTCATGATGTGGGCTGCGAGGTTAAAGTTGGATTTTTCAGTTCTTTACATGCTAAAATATTGTTGAGAACTAGGATTTTATTGATTAAATAGAACTTTTTTGGGTGAAATACTGTATTCCTCTCAACTACAGCTTGTACTGAAGATATGGAATGGGACGTTCAGAAATAAGCTGCTCAGAGTTTTGAATGGCATGCTGTCTGAGCAGTGTGAAGGACTCTCGTAGTGTCCTGCTCTGTCCCGCGTGGGACCTGGCTCATCTGGGCCCAGCAGCTCCATGCTGTGTGCGCCACCCGCCCCTTAGTGGCTTGGCAGCCATCTTGGCTGTCACGTGACTGCCTCCAGGTCACATGACTGTCTCAGTGTGGCATGCATGTGCTCTAGCCTAACGCTGTGTCACTCACCTCCCATCTCATCACATGGGTGTTGTATCCTTGCACATCAACACAGGAAGGTCAAGGGCAACACAGTAGACATTTTAAGAGAGACAGAGAGAGACCGTACCTGCATAGCTTTAAATATAGTGTATTCTAATTGTTGTATTTATTGTGAGTTGTCCTTTATTCTTTACTAAGCATAATTTACGAGTTAAACTTTGTCCTGGGTATCTATGTACAGGGAAAAATGGTGTCCACAGGGTTTGGTACCATCTGCAGCTACAGGTGTCCATTGGGGGGTCTTGGAATACAGGCCCTGCAGTGGGGGAAGGCCACTGTACCCAGGATTTGCTGGGCAATTTTGAGATGGAAGAAACATTTTAAAGCATTCTGAGAATTTATGAAAGGATTCTTTCAGACAATTCCTTTTCGGCGCTGGTGCTGTGGCATAGCAGGTGAAGGTGTTGCCTGCAATGCTGGAATCCCACACGGGTGCTGAATCATCTCCCGGCCCCTCCGCTTCTGCCCCAGCTCCCTGCTGACGGCCTGGGAAAGCAGCAGAGGACGGCCCAGGTGTCTGGGCCCCTGCACCCACGTGGGAGACTCCGATGGAGCTCCAGGCTCCTGGCTTCAGCCTGGCCCAGCCCTGGCTGTTTTGGCCATCTGAGGAATGGATCTGGGGCTGGAAGATCTGTCTCTCTCTGTCTCTCTGACACTGACTTTCAAATAAAATTATGAAAAGACTACGCCCCTCTCATCCCCTTGGACTTGGTGTAGTGTGGTATTAACGTGGTTTACGAATTCATGTCATCAATGTTTAATGAGATTATGCAGGTGCCTGGCAAACCATCCAGTGAAACTCAAGTCTTTCTTTACTCCTGTGTCCCAGCTGCTGGTTCCCTCCTTAGAGAAAGCTGTTCCTTGCATTTTCTGCAGAGAGATTCTCTGTAGATACAAGCATATTTCAGAACGTGCCTTTTGCTTTTACAACTGATGCTGGCGTGCTAAAAAAAAAGGAGATGTGTATGTCCACACCCAGACACCTTCCATGCACAGATACTCATGGGTCTGGAGGGGGTTCCCCATGTCCGGGTGATTGACCTCACTCTGAATGCAGCAGAGTCCTTGTCACACTGCAAGGGGCTGCCTGGTGGCCCCTCTGCTTTTCATTTTCAGGACTGTTTTATGATACAGACCATAATGGTACACACCACACAAATGCATGGACACATCTTCCTCAGAGCAGGGTCAGCCATTGTTTTTTATTTCATTTATTTGAAAGGCAGAAAAGAGAGAGAGAGAGAGATAGATTATCCATCTGCTAGTTTACCCCCCAAATGCTTGTGATAGCCATGGCTGGACCTGGCAGAAGCCAGGAGCCAGGAGCCTCATCCGGGTCTCCCTTGTTGGTGGCAGGGATCCAAGTTCTTGGGCCATCACCTGTGGCGTCCCAGGTGCATTAGCAGAAAGCTAGATTGGAATTGGAGGCGGGACTGGATTCCAGGCCCTCAGACATGGGCTGTGGGTGTAGCAAGCAGCAGGCTAGTTGCCCCCTGCACCCCACGCTTGTCCCTGGGGCTGGGCTTTTCCTGGGCTGCAGGTGTCGGTGGTGGTGGAAGTGTGGCGTGCCCTCCCAGAGTCTCGGGCTCATTCAGGACCTCCAGCTGTCCCCTAGGAGCCAGCGCTCCTGCTCCTCCCACCCCTGACCACTGCCTTCCACGCCTCTTCCTGCCTCAGGCCTTTGCACGGGCTGCCCTGCCTGCTCCATCCTCTCACACAGCTCATGCCTCCTCCTGCAGCCGCCTCCTGCAGCCGTGCGCCTGACACTAGACTTCCCACGCGTCACAGTCTTGCATAGTTTATTACGTTTGTTGTTCAAAGTGTCCCCAGGACGGTAACGATGCTCTTTGAGTATCAGACCTCGTGGGGTCTTACTCCCTGCTGCCCTCTTGCTGCCTAGAGCACTGGTTTTGCCTAGTAAATAACTTTGCTAATGAAGTAAATATTTCACACCGACAGTTTCGCCACAAACCTCCGTGTCTACACTGCACGCTGACTCGTGTCCTCTGTTGTTATTTTATGTGAAGGGCAGAGTTGGCTGGCGGGAGAGATCCCTCAGTTCTCGCTCTCTCACTTGCTTGCTTCGCTAGCTCCGCTCGTGTGAAGATGCTGGATTTGAAGACCGAGGCTGGAAACCACCCCGGGCCTCACTTTCCAACCCAAAGTCAGAGTGACAGCGGTGCTCTCTGAGTTGTCGTGAGGTCAGCAGAGCCTGGCCGTGCCCCGGCACAAGGCGGAACCCCTTTGCAGGCTGCTTGCCTTTCTGGGTGGGCAGACGCCGACTGATCCGGCCAGTCCTGGCCTGCACGGGTGTGTGGCGTGAGCTCCTTCCGAGACAGAGACGGTGGCTTCCTGCCAACCCAGGAAGTGAGGGGCTGCGAGTGTGCCCCAGGCTGTCCTCAACCCTGGCCCGTGGTGTGGCCTGGCCCTCTGGCTCATCCCACTCCTATGGGACCAGCTGGTTGCCTGGCTCATTGGCAGGGTCCCTGTGGTCTAGATTTGGTGGCCTCAGGAGTCAGGCCCAGGAAGGACTCTTCAGGTCGTCATCAGAGTTGGGTCTGAGGCAGAGCTGGCCACTGTGCCTGTGTGTGTGTGTGTGTGTGTGCACCACGACGTTTCCAGTAGGCCCTGGGTGGTGGCGGAATGGATGCAGGACAAGAATGGGCTGCACTGGTGCTGTGGGCCGTGGTGGCCTGTGTGTGTGGACACTGACCTCTAAACGTGGTCTGTTCAGCACCTTACATGCAGCTGGGGACTCGGGGTCTGGGCTGGCCCCCTGGTGAGAGAGGACTCGGAGGCAGAGCTGCTGTGGACATAGGGAGTGTTGGCTTTTAGGGGACAGCTCCGGCATGCCCTGCCATGAGGGCTCTGGGTGGCCCGTGTGGAAACCTTGGCCGGCTGGCACCGTGGCTGCACCTGGCCCCCATGCCAGCCCAGGCTGCACCGTTCAAACCCTTTCTCTGTCTCTCTCTCTTTGTTTATAGATTTATTTGTTTATTTGAAAGAGTTAGAGGCAGAGAGAGAGCTCTTCCATGTGCTGGTTCACTCCCCAGATGGCTGCAATGGCCAGGGCTGGGCCAGGCTGACCAGGAGACTCATGCAGGTCTCCCACAGGGGTGCAGAGGCCCAGGCAGTTGGGCCATCTTCTGCTGATTTCCCAGGTCACTAGCAGGGAGCTGGAAACACCACAGCTCTGGCCCCCAACCCATTCTCCGTGGGCCACCCCAGGCCACCTCCCATGCACCAATGAGCCAGCTCCCTTCCATGGCACAGAAACCCCCGATCCCATAATTCTGCAGTGTTAGAATCCAGCTGCAGGATGTGCCCTGCCACCTTTCAGTCATGACAGTCTCATTATAAAGGTACCACGGCTGGCGCTTCCACTCCCATCATGCACCGGGGCCACCACACTTCCTGCATTTCCAAAACAGGGAAAGGAAATGGCCCCACCTCGTTTGAATATCCAGTTAAGCTCTGTGACACCACGCCCCGTGCCTCCCGAGAGTATAAAGGGGTGGCTGGAAACTTGCTTTGAGGTGTTTTGGCTTTTTGCTCACTCTCGCCCGCGCCTCTCTGTGGCTTCCCTGCACATCCTGAGGCCTCCATCTTGACTGCTCTGCGCATGCGTAGGGGGAACCCCTGGCTTCTGCCCAGCTAGGGGTCCTGCTGCCCACTGCAGAATGACGTGGACAATGGAGAAGGAACCGGCAGGCCAGACTGGAGAGGGAGGCCGGGGTCTTCTGCAGGGCCTCTCAGCTTCACGCAGAAGCTAGGATCCACCTTGTGCCTGGGGATGTGGTGAGAAAAACAGTGCATTTCGGAGGAAACCGTTAAAGGACAATTAACTGGGCAGGGCTGACTCACAGAGCAGCGCTGGACTCCAGGAGGTGGGGACAGCCAAGGGCGAGTTGGTGCTGGGGCAGCAGGTAGCCAAGTGGGGCCGTTTGAGGTGTCTGTGCTGGGCTGCTACCAGAGACCCCCGGGACCACCCCTCCAGGCAGGCCCACCCTGCAGACCTCTGCCCCCAGCAGGCGTCACTGCCAAGCCTGGGTAGAGGATGGCTCTCCTCAGTAAGGCATATTTAAATGAGACAGACAGCTGTAGTTTTGTGCTTCATGCTTAGCCAAATCCTATTTAATTAACCTGCTTAGACTTGTTGATTGAGGTTAATTAGACCCGGGGATTGATGTTAATTGCCATTGTAAACTGCCAATGTTATAGGCAGTACATTTTTGGATTTGGTCTTAAAAAAAATGGAGGCAGAGGCTGCTTTTTCTGAGCTTGCTTGTTCCTGTCTTGCACCCCCCCACTTAGATAAAAAGGCGCTGCTCGGGCCCTAATTGTGTGTGCTTTGTTTTCTTGTGGGCAGAGCACGGGCGGGTTTGTGCAGAGGCCCATCCTATTTCAGTCAGTGTTCTGGACTTACACAGTGTCTCCTCTCTCTCTCTCTCTCACTCTCACTTCCCCCTTTTTCCTTTTTCCCTAATTGTGCCCTTCAACATATGCACACACATGCCCATGTGTGCACACACAGCCACACACATGATGTACAGATATATGTGCAAATGCACGAATGTACACACAGCTACCACACACTACACACAGGAGGTACCACAGAACATTCATGGAAGATGAGATGAAACGATGTGTTCATTTTGGTGGAAAGCGATTTTTGATAAGTGACAAATCTTAGCTCCCAAGCTGGGAGTCCTCGATCTTCAGATAGATCAAAATTTCCTCTTTTTTAATGGACATTTATTTATTTATTTATTTGAAAAGTCAGTGCAAAAGAGAGACAGACAGAGATATGGACAGATCTCCCACCAGCTGATTCACTCCCCAAATCCCTGCAACAGCCAGGGCTGGGCCAAGCCAAAGCCAGGACCAGGAACTCCATCCAGGTCTCCCATGTGAGTAGCAGGGGCCCAAGTCCTTGAGCCATCAGCTGCCGCCGCCGTGGGTATCATTAGCGGGAAGCTGGCCTCGGGCGTTGAAGTCAGGAATTGAACCCAGGGACCCTCATGTGGGATGTGGGCATCTTAAGAACTAGGCCGAAATGCCTACCCCATTAGGAAAACTTTGAAAACACCACAGAAGAGGAAGGAGCATGCTGTTACAATGATAGCCCAGGAGTTTGTCTAATGCAGTACTAAATTTCCTTCTAAATAGTGCTTGCAGAGCTGTTTTTTGTTTTTTAAAAATTACTTGAAAGGCAGAGCAACAGAGAGGGACATAGAGCTAGAGAGAGAGGTCTTCCATCTGCTCGTTTATTCCCCCAGTACCTGCAATAGCCAGGGGTGCACCAGACTGAAGCCAGGAGGCAGGAGCTCCACCCAGGCCTCCCGTGTGGGTGGTGGGAGCCGTCTTCCGCTGCCTTCCCAGGCACTTTAGCAGGGAGCTGGATTGCAAGCAGAGCCGCTGAGACTTGAAGCAGCACTCCTGTATGGGCGTTGCAAGCAGCAGCCTCACCCGCTGTGTCATATCAGCGGCCCCCGAGCTAGGCTTTGTACCTTTTGCTAAAATGAGACAGGAAAATTCACCAGGAGAAAGATGTTTTTGTTGCTGCTGAATTCTGCAAGGCACGCGTTCCGCAGGTCGCCGTTGGAGGGACCGTGGAGCAGTTCTTTCCTGAATCACAGTTGTTTCCCTGAGCTGCTGGTGGCATCCACCCAGGAGTGCAGGGTCCAAGCCCAGTGACACCCCCTGGGCAAGTTCTCAGTGGAGGGCCTTACCCCATTGTCTGACACCCAGCAGCCACCCGGGTGCACCTTTCTCTGCAGAGGCTGGGGAGCTCTGGGTGGGGGATCTGTCCCCTGCTTGGCAAGCCCTTCTCCTCTCTGTGCAGAATTGGGCCGGAGCTGGGCACCCTGTTTCTGGCTCTGCCTGGGTGGCTAAAACCCACTGTTCCGTGCTGTAGATCATGGGAGGAGGTTACTGGAACTGGGGAATGTGAGGTCAGGCGTTGCCAGCTGGCTAGCCTGACGGTGAACGGCGGGCCTGGCGTGACTGCTGTAGCATGATTGTTCTGGAAACTGCCCTCCGCTCTGGGGTTAGCTCCATGACTCAGCGCGTCACCAAGTCACATACCCAGGTGGACACCCTGCAGCGCCATTTTTGATTCCAGTATTGCTTTTTGGGTGTTTTCAATGGAAATTAGACATCAGGTGCGGTCTTTTCAATTTTTTTTTTTTTTTAATTTTCATTGTATTTGAAAGGTGGAGTGACACAGAGAGATGGAGAAATAGAGGGAGATCTTCCATCCACTGATCCACTCTCCAAATGTCTGCACAGCCAGGCTAAAGACAGCAGCTCAGAACCCTGTCTGGGTGTCCCATGTGGGTGTCAGGGAAGCCATGCTGGGGCCTTCACCGTCACCTGCTGCCCCCATGGGTGCACAGTAGCAGGAAGTTGGACAGGAGGTGGAGGTGGGACTCGATCCCGGGACTCTGATATGCGATGCAGCAGCCTCCCCCGCTGGTCCACAATGCCCTCCTCCTCTCTTTTCTTGAGACCATTTCAAGCAGAAAAATAGAATTAACAGATAAGTTTATTTCCGTGCAAAACACTTTTGAAATCCATGCGTAGTCTTTTTCACGGCGTGTACTTTCTGTGGCGTTTCTGAAATTGCCCTTGTCCGGGGAGCAATAGGACTTATCTTGCTTTACACAGGATGGGAAGGGGACAAAATGCAGGGAAGTTAAGGGATTTATTACTGATTCTATGGAAAATGAGGAGGAAACTTGGGATTTGGCCTTGGATTTTTCTGACTGATTCTAGTGTTTGTTTTTTTTTTTTTTTTTCCTACTACATCCGAACTGTAGTCCACTTCAAAGGAAGCTGATGTAGAGTTTAGAAGAATTTAAAAGTAAATTAACCACCGAACTCACCTAAGTGTCGGATTACGAGTCACCAGGCAGTATTCAGAGAACTGTAGAACAAGCGCATGGTCAGCTTGGACAGGAGAGAGGCAGGTGTCTGGGTGGCGTGAGGATCTGTGTCGAGATGGGAGAGCGGCTCTGCCCGGGTGCCTGAAGCCTGGGGACCTGCGGTGAGGGCTGGGGGCAGGCGCCCGACCCGGCTCCACTGCAGATCGCTGCTCTGGCTAACCCGGCGTGGAGCCCAGGGCCCGGATCTCAGCCAAGTGTGCACAGGGACTCAGCAGTGGTGAAGGCATGGGAAAAAGTGTCCATGGTCCCTCGTAGTTTAGATGCCCTGTGCCCTGCATTCCAACACCTCTGGGGATGTTGAAGCCGAATGACCGCCACGCCGGGCCTCAGAGCATCCGGCTGTGCCGTTTCCTGGCGTTTCATTGAGATACATGGGTGCAGACGTGTGAGGGATCCCGAAAGGACCCCCGCCTTCAGCCTTCACGCGTTCATTCGCCTGCGATGCGGATTCAGTCCCAGCCTCCAACGGCCTTTCTCCCTCGCTCGCGTCTGCCTGCCCGCCCTCCCTCCCCTGCCAGGAGGAGCGGTCACCATGTTGGTGGCTCCAGGCCACAGATCATTCTCTATTTTAATCTGCAAGTGAACGTTTCTTCCTTTGAACTTCATTAAGTCTGGCTGTGTTTTCGTTTTGAAACAATCTGGCATCGCTATCCTTGAGACATATAAAACCAGCAATTAATTTTGGTCTTCGGGAGCACTGGTGGTCTGGAAGCAGGCAGGCAGTGCCAACAAAAGCACATGGAAGCCTCAGACACGCAGACATAACACTGGAATCAGCAGATCACACGGTGTCGGGTTCAGTAGCTGGGACCCGGTCCTGAGGGCGTCCCCAGAAAGGCCCGGCGTGCAGTGGGGGGTTTTGAGGGTAGGGGCTCTGTTCCTCAGACATTATTCATCTGAACACAGCCACCTACAAACTCAGCCAGGACCGGGCTGGTTATCAGCGTGGACGAGATTTTCCATCAAGTAACTGCCCACTCCTGGCAAGTACACGAGAGGAATAGCATGCCGGCCGGGGAGGAGGAGGACCCCATGCCCGGGGCGGTGACCTGTGGACGGAGAACACCAGACGTCCCGTTACAAAAGGCGCTGCAGGGCGGGCCCTGGGCACAGTGGTTCAGGTGCCGCTTGGGACGCCCACATCCCACAGGAGGGTGCCTGCTCCGCCCCTGACTCCAGCTTCCTGCCATTGTACAGCTTGGGAGGCAGCCTGTGGTGGCTCAGGGCCCTGGGTCCCTGCTGCCCACGTGGGAGACCTGGGGTGAATACTGGGAGTTTGGCTTTGGCCTGCCCCAGCTTGGCTGTTGCAGGCATTTGGGGGAGTGAACCAGTGATGGGCATCTCTTCTTGTCTGTCTCTTTCTCTCTCTCTTCCTGTCACTCTGCCTTTCCAGTAAATAGAAATCAGAAAAATATTTTTTAAAAGGCACCACGGCTTGTGCCTTGGTCTTTGGATTCCCCCTGCAGGGTTCCTGGCAGCCTGGTAGGGCCACGAAGAGAGCGGATCCTCGTGGTTCCAGCTGACGCCTGCGGCAGCCTCGGGAGAGCAGAGGCAGACGCCACAGTTGTGCGGCTCCCGCACTGCAGGCCTGTGGGGACTGGGAGGCGATGGCGATTATTTGTGTTTCCAGCAGCCAAGTTTTGGGGTGCTTTGTTAGGCAATGATAGATAAGGAAGGCACAAAGGCTGTCGCGGGTGCCAGGTTGTGAGATTGGCTGTGTCGGTGACCTCCCACAACCCGTGAGCTGTCGGGTCGTCAGCTGGAGAACGTGGATGGTAGACCCGGATGTGGTATCCTGACCAGGAATCAAGACTGGACAGGAGGTGTTTCTGATGGTGGAGTCGGAAGCCC